CAAAACGCATCAAAACAGATAGAAAATGCAAGAATGCAGTCATGAAATAGCCTAATACAAGACTTTCACCTAGACTTTATGGATTTAATGCTACATCTATAAAAAAGTTTTTTACTACAGCCTTGCATGAGTATGATTCCCTTCTCATGAATGTTCATACCCCTGACGTTGTGTTTTACTCAAAATATTTTCTTATATTTTCCACAGAAGAAAGAAAGTCATACAGGTTTGGAACGACATGAGTGAGAAACAATCGATCGCAGATGTAAGCAGATGCATATGTAAAATTACGATATCATAAACAGCGTATAAATCAAAATGGCCTAATGTTACCGAAAGAAACATCGAGCCAGGAAGTGGCATAGGAATGTGCAAGCTTGGGGGGTGTTGATGGAAGCGATCTACTCCATCTATATTTTGATCATCATTCTGAATCTGATCCAGCTTTTTGTTGTAAATTATTAATGAAACTTACATGAAGCTAGGTTTTTTTTTGTTTACAAGCAAAGGCTCTGTTCTTTCTTTTGACATATTGCATGTTCAGATATTCATACAACAAAATATTCTGGGGGCCATGAAAGTTTCGTGAAAAAGATGATGCTGGCAGTGACTGGCAACTTGTTTTAAAAAAATACTGGTGGGGAAAGAGTTAACTAGAATTATTTTATCTCAAAACATCAGCTATTATATAACTCCTTTAAATTCTAAACTAATACACATCATTATTATACAGTAGCTATGCAGAATGATTTGAGAAGTTTATTCAAGTTGCAGGACATGATTGCAGACTCACACACAGAAGTAGAGATGTCTGCTTCTTGCAGACAGCAGGTGCTCTTATTTTATATAACACACTCACCAAAACAGCAGAAGAGTAATTGGCCCCTACAGTTCTTTCTGACTGTCACTCAAGAGACACAGAGAAAGAGCCAAAGCGCGACAGAGAGAGAATGCTAGAATGAGAGAGAAGGTGTGTGGGAGGACGGGTGGGCGAAAAGAGAGGGATGAGACAAGGATGAAAAACGAGGGTATGGTAGGATACGACTAGAGCCCACCAGCGTGTCACCTCTGAGTGAGAGAGAGGCGAAGGTGGTATGTGTGCGAGTGTGTGTGTGTTTTCTGTAGTTCTGTAGGCAGGGAATCTAGCAGTGTGTGTGTGTGAGTAAGTGAGTGTACACACATCTGTGGTGAGAAATAAGAGTGGGCAGATTTGTCTGTGTAGGCGTGTGGGTGAGTGAGAGGACAACCAACCCTGAGAAGAGCACTACATTTCAAAATAAAGGTTTTAGAGTTCAGAAAGTTTGTAGTGAGATTGAGAGAGAGAGAGAGAGAGACAAAAAGAGGATGTAAAGGCCTGAGATGGGTAGTGGTTCTGTCAGACGCAGCTGTGACAGGCCTTCACTGTGCACAGGACAAAACTAAGCAAAAACAGATCAACAAGCTATGCTGTATATGTTAAGGGCTGCAGGAAGCAAACAAACATATTGTGAGAACATGGCATTTTGCATTAAATAAATGCCAAGATTAAAAGTTTGCCCTCATTTTGTATGGTTCTCTTTATTCATTTAGAGCACAAAAGGAGACAGTTTACAGAATGATGCTGCACAGTTCCATACAATGCAAAGTGAATGGGAACTGTCAAGCTCCAATAAAGATTAGCAGTTAACCTGTTGCTATCTGACCTGAACATATATGTTTGTCTCTGTGCCATTTGGTGAATCGAACTCATTTAAATTCAGAGTGAGTGAGTCATTTATGCCGGAGCCACTCTGTTCAATTCAAACTCAACTGATAACTTGACTTTGATCATTGAAAAAAAGAACTGATTTAAAAGAGTCATCCTTGTTGGGTTTCTAAACGGCTGACAGACTACTGAAATGTTGTCAAGAAAAGTGTTACAGGGCCATTCATGTTTTTACATTTAAAAATTCAAGATGCAGGGATGTGGAACGAAAACTCAAGGTCTATAGATGTTTGTTTTTTTAAAATAAAAAGCAGTACAGTGTTTTTGGATTAAAAGATCCAGGTTAGTGCAATGCAGAAAAAAAACTAAAACAAACAGGGTCTTTTTTTAGAGACTTTTTAAAAAAAATCTGTGTAATATTGCATGTTTACATACAAAAATAGCAGACAATACAAATGCACATTAAAGACCACCCTGAATATTCTGCCATAAATTATTAAATACAATTAAATAAAAGCTTTTGAAATGATACCGAGCAAAGAATGTTTGATTTTTGGTTGAACTACTCTTTGGCTGAAACTTGAGTGGTAAGATGTAGTTGGGTTTGACAGCTGCGTCTCCCAGGTACAGACTTCAGCACACGTTTCTACGTTTCTGCAGTCATTCCTGATATAGGCAGCTGGAGGATATAATGAAGACTCTGGCGCATTTCCCAGCTATTAACTATATAACTATACGGTCAAACTGTGCAGTCACGACAAGACACAAACATGCTCAGATGCACTACAGAGAGACTGAGGCAATGAACACATAGCAAACATAGTGGAACATAAATTAAAGGGGGGGTGGGAAGGCACATTTACATACAGGCAAGACCCCAGGCCAATGGAACTCATGTTATTTAAAGGGGTCATATGATGCGATTTCAATTTTTCCTTTCTCTTTGGAGTGTTACAAGCTCTTGGTGCATAAAGAAGATCTGTAAAGTTGCAAAGACTAAAGTCTCAAATCCAAAGATATTCTTTATAAAAGTTAAGAGTCAGCCACACCTACCTAAAACGATTCGTTCTAACACGCCCCCACATATCTACCTCACTATGAGGGAAGATTTGCATAACGCCGTCCAAATGTTCACGCAACGAAAGAAGGCGTAACTTATATTCTCGCTGTAGTACTGTTGTTGCCACCGCCATGTCTTGAAGGCGCTGTGTGCTTCGTTGTGAAAGCAAAACTACTTTGTTTGGCCTTCCAAAAGAGGACGATATTGTTTCGTTATGCCTGGAGCTGATCCGTGCTGGTCGCTGAGGAAATACTTCAACTTCGCGCTGTCGATCGCCAAATCGGCTTTCATCGTGGACGAAGCGGAGTCCAGCCCGGGGTCGTCACATGTGGTTGCTGCAGGTATCACAATATAGTAAGAGACATAACATTTCCGTCACATGCTTGAGGAATTCGGCCAATCACA